GAGTCTGCTTCTCCCTCTGACCCTCCCCCCTCTCATGTGCTCTCTCTCATTCTCTCTTTCTCAAATAAATAAATAAAATCTTTAAAAAAAAAAAAGAATACAAAATCCAATATAAAGACACAGTTGCAAACATCATTGTGGTTTATTTAGATTATGTTTTCAATGAGATAAGTGCCCTTAAATAGGAGTTTCATAGCCCATCATCTGCCATCCTTCATTTGTTCACTCATGAATTCATTTGGTTCAAATAATACAGAGGTGAGGTGGGGAGGAATCAGTGGGGTGGCGGTGGAAGCAGGGAGAGGAGCAAAGGGAAGATTGCAGCTTTAGTAGAGAAGAGATGACAGAAGAAAGTACGAGACCCAGGACAGGAGGAAACCCTTCCGTCCAGCCCGTAGAATACGCTGACTGAAGGGAGGCTGGGCACAGACACAGGTACACCTACGGGGAGACGGTTATATGCTCTCCTCCTATTTATAGTCCTTTCCCATGTACAAAGCATTCTAATATCCATTATCAAATGTAATCCTCACAGCAAGTGTCAATGAATCGTTTCCCCATTTTACCGATGAAAATGCTGGGGCCCAAGGGACAATGACTGGCCCAATATCACACAGCCAGTAAGAAGGCAAGAGAGGAAGGACTCCAACCCAGACCGCCCTCTAAATCAGGAGCTCTGTGCACGATCCTACTGCAGTGTACTTAAGTTACTCAAATGAGACACATCACAGAATGTCAGGATTGGAAAGCAGTTCAAAGATCCAGTCTAGTCCTTTCATGTTACATGTGCTGGAAATAGGTCCTGATTTGCCCCAGTTAGTACGTAACAGAAATGGGGTCAGAACTCTGGTTTCCTGACAGCTCCCAGTCTTTCCACTCTACCACCCAGCCTCAAAATGAAAATTAATACAAACATTCTACACAGAAACCAGAGCATGCCAAAAGTCACTGGAAATCAAACAGCAAACACCTATTCATTCCCTTTGTAACTCAGTAGGAATGGTCGTGCGGCAACACCTCTTTATTCCCAGGAATCTTAGGGTTTTAGAGAGATGAACATAAGCACCTCCACAAAAGCAGAACTGCTAAATAACCCATTAATCGCCAGCCAGCATGTGCACATTATATCCCTGCTGTGTCAGACTTATTCATAACTTTTCTTCAGAGAAAAAAACTCTGAGGCACCTGCCTACTGCATTTAATCGGTAAGACGTCCTTACCTGAAGTATATTTATAGTCGGGTTATATGGTTACATAAACAATCGCATGGTACAGCTTGCTTTAAACGTAATGAGATTTTCAAAAAACTTCTAGGCTGAGAATCCATCCACCCAACCGAGAGCTGACAAAGTAGCAGTTCCCGCTCTGGACATTCATTCATTCGTGAGGCCATCAGATAAATCGAACACACCTGCTATGATGGACCCAACTCTCAAGGCGCTCAGTTCTATCCACAGTAAAGTACTACCACCAAATAAACCTAGCACTCCCCTAAAAGACGCTTGTTTCCACAAACCCGTTAGATAGAAAATCATGTCAAATCCAGTCAGAATGCATTACATAGAACCAGGTCAATTCTGAAGGATAATTTCTGCTCCAAAGGATACATATCTTGGAGGGAGAACTGTGGGTTGGGGAAGGGGGGAGATTACAAGGAGATGCTCAGCAAACATTTCCTGAGTGACTAAATGAATTTTCCTGGCCTTTAGTGATAATCCTGTGAGATTCCAAGAAGAAAGTAGCTCACTTATCTTCAAAGAACAACAACACAATTCAATATGAATATTGTGATTCTGAACTTTGCCTCCTTCATTCTTGGCTTTGCCACTTGGAGAACTCCACCAGTGGACACGGGGGGGCGGGGGGGGGCATGAGAGTCTGTGTGAGTCCCTGTAAAATATGCATCAAGATTTCAGATGGTACAGGGCGCCTGGGTGGCTCAGTTGGTTAAGCAACTGCCTTCGGCTCAGGTCATGATCCTGGAGTCCCGGGATCGAGTCCCGCATCAGGCTCCCTGCTCAGCGAGGAGCCTGCTTCTCCCTCTGACCCTCCCCCCTCTCATGTACTCTCTCTCATTCTCGCTCTCTCAAATAAATAAATAAATAAATCTTTAAAAAAAAAAAAAAGATTTCAGATGGTACAAACTTAACTCTGAATTTAGGAACCCATGAGGGGCAAAAAAAAAAAAAAGTCAAATCTTGTAAAAAGCTAACCCTTAGAAAAGAAAGCAAAAAAAAGAATTAAAATTTAGAAAGAGTGACTACAGGAAGTGCTGATCCACCCTGTGTATTAGGGGGTAAAGCTCTTCCCCTTCATCCTTGGCGGAGGCGGCACTAAACCCCAAACACTCTCGGAGGCTGAGGCAGGCAAAAGAGTGCTTGGGGGGGCTGGGGCGGGTGGCTGGAGGCTGGGTCGGAGAGCATGTGACTCCCGATCCTGGGGTTGTGAGTTCAAGGCCCGTGTTGGGCATGGTGCTCACTTAGAGTGCTCGGGCTTCTCAGCCTGGGGGGAGAGGGGTACCACATGACCAACAAGCACAGCTGCCACAGAGCAACCTTACCTCCAGAAACAATTCCAGAAGTGACCTCATTTGAAGACACTATAAAAGATGTGATTTTGTCCTTTAAAAGTTCTACTTATTGAACTTTTATTCCCTTCCAATGAAACCAGGGAAGATCTGTCCTTGAGTATAAACTTTAATAATAGGACTTCGGACCACATAATGCAGCATACATTTCTGACTGCAATTAGAAAACACCATTAGAACACAGTTTGTAGCATGTATTTGGAGAAATCACAGTCCCCCCAACATAAGCGTACCCTCTCCTGAAGCTTGGTACGACTCGATAGTCTACAGAGCGAACGTTCCTCCGGTAGGCTGCCACCGCGCCTGCCATCACGCCTGCCTCCCGCCCCACCATAGCCCTCACCGCTTTAAGGGATTCCTTGCATTATTTTGCCTTGTGCTGTTCCCGCACTTGGAGTTCACTCCCAACTTCATGGCTCTGCTTCTAATATAATGTCCCTGTCTGAAACACGCACGCACATACACACGCAGGGCTTTACTTTTTTTTTTTTTTTTTTTTAACAGAGTAGGTCATCTGTGAGACCCCAACTACCCTTTCAGCCACAGGATATGTCAGGAATTCTGGTCACTAAGTTCCTCAAAAAAATACTGCTCTAAAACCAGGGATTTTCTATGACTTCCTTATCCAAGAAATAAGTGAGCTTACACTATACTGTTTTATCTGAAAACACTTAAATCTATTTCTGAAATTCAAATCCAATCAATACATCTGTGCATTGTATCAGTGAATTTTTCAGTAAAAACTCCAGACATCTGTCTTTTAAATTACACCAACGTATATACTGTTTAAAAAAATATTTCCTCCTTAACTTTCAAAGCTTAAAAGTCAAAGAATTTCCTTTCTCTAGATCCCAGAAGTCATAACTGCTATCATCCAGACTCAGGAATGATTCTGTATAAAAGAATAAGCTTTTTAAAATCAATTAACTCCCCTCTAGAACAAAAGGGCTCTGGCGCTCGGGGGCTCTGGCTAGGCCAGGCAGGGAGAACGCCATCACTGGGGTTGAGGGGAGGCAGTAAGACTAGGGATAGCCCTTCTAACACAAAATAGCTGGAGGGAAGAGTGAGGGTCGGTGCCAGGGAGGGGCATGAGTCTCAACACGGACATGGCTTGGTCACTCTTGGGTGGCTGGCAGATCCTCTCGGGTATCTGAAAGGAAAACTACCCAGATGGCGGAAAAGAGGCCCCAGCCCCCTGGGAAAGACAAGGCAGCTCGAATCAGGACAGAGTCAGTGGAGACACACGGCAGTCTACCGTTTAAAAGCGGAGTGCTACCTCAAACTTAAGAGAACAAGAAGCTTCTTGATTTGTAAACTTGCACTCATAAATACAAACCTTCAAACTAGAATTCAGTGCCTTTTTCAACAACTCTTTTCAACAGTGATACACAGTGTTCTTCCTTTTGGAATCAGGGCTGTTACATAGAAATGTACTAAATAGCCATTTTCCAAAGCAACACTAGAGTTGAGAATAGGTATTCTGTACCAAGAAGCTAATACTACTGCGGCCTAGAGTGCACACGTGTTAGGATCGGACAAGGATCTTACTGAGGATGGCATCGTAGTAGGGACTGAAGACCATCTTGTTATAGTTGACCAGGCGGACAAATTTAATAGCAACTTCTTCCAGCTCTTTCTGAACTGGACCCAATCCCCCAGGGACCGTGAGCAATGGCTTCTGATGACCCGAGGCAAGGTAGCTTTCTAAGAAGATCAGGATTCGGGAATCTGTGATAGGAAAGAAAGCAGTTGGTTGTTTCTTGTTCAGGGTGACTCTGCAAACTTCTGATTATGCTTCAGTTTTTAGCTTAAACATCCTTTTTCCCGGGAAGTCCTCCCTGCCCACCCCCTAGACCAGGTGCCCACAGCACTGTGCACTTCAAACATTCAGTCCATTTAGAACACTTCCTCTCCAGCTCTAGATGGTTAGTTTCACGAGGGTAGAAGCACGCTTATCCTGTTCATCATCCCCCCCGCCCCAGCACTCAGCCCACGGCCTGGCAGGAGACCTGGCCCCAGGAGAAGCTCAAAATACATTTGGAAAGGAAGAATAAATGTGTGAATCAATACAAGGAGACTGAAGTGTTGACAGGTTCTGCTCTGAGGAGAAAGACACCCTGAGACCACCATGAACCATTGCTGAAGAGCACATAAAAAATGGGGCCCGGGGGGGAGGGAAGGTGGGGGGTAAAGCAGGAATTGTAAGTTCAGAAATGGAAAAAAAAGATTCTAGCATTGTGAATCTGTGAGCTTTTCCCACCAAGCCCACATGTAAGCAGCGTGAACATCCTTCTTTAACGCCGCCACGGAGGTGTGGCCACCTGCCAACTTGTACTACTGAGGAATAATTCAGGTTGAGCTGCTTTTTAAGCCATTCCTCTCTAGGACGCTTTTGCATGGTCCTCATCAACCCTTACAGATTTTCTTACAAAAGCAATAGGGGCATTTATATTCACCGAGTTCTTTCAAACTGCACGCCTGTGGGACCCTCTCGGGTGCAAATGACCTACACCCTTCAGACCCCAATACACAGTGACAAAGCAACTGCTGACCAGATGGGTCCCATTACCGCTGTTGCCAAGTTAGTTTGGTTTTCTAAGGTTCTCAGAGTTGGAAGCCCCACACGGAACTGGAGATCCTTGGATCATTCCTACCCCAGGGCTGGGTTTTAGCTCCAGGTCTATGACCACCTGTTACTCAGCACCCAACATGGCAGGACGTGGAGCAGCTTGTTAGCCGGCAGTCTATTTACGGCACGTTCCTGCATCTCTACCAAAGTCACTAATATTAATCTTGATGGTCCTTCTATCTGCAAGAGGCTCCTCCTGAGTGACCCACAGACAACATCGTGACCAATGCAGGGCTGGGATGAAGTCATTTTGAAAAAACTGTCGATCCCTGTAACTTTTTCCATCAAATATTACTTAAGGATAAAAAGGAAGTCATAGTGGGCGCCTGGGTGGCTCAGTTGGTTAAGCGACTGCCTTCGGCTCAGGTCATGATCCTGGAGTCCCGGGATCGAGTCCCGCATCGGGCTCCCTGCT